TGCCATATCTTGGCTATTGTAAATAATGCTGCAATAAACATAGGGAAGCATATTTTTTTGAATTAATGTTTTCATTTTCTTTGGGTAAATATCCAGTAGTAGAATTACTGGATAATATGGCATTTTTATTCTTTATTTTTTGAGAAACCTCCATACCATTTTCCACAGTGGATGCACCAATTTATATTCCCACCAATAGTGTACAACAGTTCCTTTTCCTCCACATTCTTACCGACACTTGATATTTCTTGTCTTTCTGATATTGCAGTTCTGACAGGTATAAGGTAATATCTCATTGTGGTTTTGATTTATGTTCCCTGATGATTAGTGATGCTGAACATCTTTTTGTGTATCTGTTGGCTATCTGTACGTCTTCTTTAGAAAAATGTCTATTCAGGTAGGAAGTGGGTTCTTGGGATCGCTGAGATACTACTTTTTGAAGAGCTTCTTGCTAACATTTATAACATAACTAAATGTATAAGTGTACCAGACTTACATTTGTCTGTCAATTAATCATTTTTTCTTTTTCTGCATGCTAACACTGTGCTAAGTAGTAAAGACAAAAGTTAAACAAGACAGACAAGATCCTTGCTCTCATGAATATTACATTCCAAGGGGATAAGACAGGAAGCAAGAAAAGCAACACATAGATACAAGAATCACAGACTTTGAAAAATGCTGGAAAGGAGATGTGTGAACAGGAGGACTACAACAGAGGTAAAGCTTTGAATCAGATAAGGTAGCTGAGCAGATACTCTCTGATGATACACCATTAATATCATCACACTGGATGAAAAAGAGCCAGTTGTGCAAAGTGGGGAAAACAGTGTTCCAAGTAAGACAAATGTCCTGAGCAAAGACCTTGAGGCAGAAAGAAGGCCTACATGACTACAGCCTAGTTTGTGAGAAGAGATTAAAGTAAAATTTAAATTAAAAAAGCACACTTACCACCATTTCATTTATTTAAGAATCCTTTGTTTCCATTCACAAAACACCTAACAGAGTTTGATCATTAGTAGCAGATGAAATTTTGATCTTTCTAAAGATTCGAGAAAGACTACAGTTGGGCACACTCACAGCCTCTCTTTGACACTGCCCCCCCCCCCCCCCCCCCCCCCCCCCCCCGCCACCTTCCTCCCTTACTAAGGTCACATAGGATTTTGCACTGATCCCTGCCCTTCTAGATGTCAGCAGGGTTACTAGAAAATTAGTTTCTGGTGACATCTCCCATAATCCTCTCCAGATGCTCTCAGCACCATAGGACAGTCTGACACTGCCTGGTTTTAGGGTGGGCTTTCCTTGGTTCTTGCAATTCCTCCACTTTCCCCTACAAAACTCTGACATAATCCCCTGGAAAGGTTACAGCCCTCTCCTCCCTGGAGGCCAGGAGGGGGTGGTTGGACAGGCCTCCCCTCCCCTTTACCACTATTTGGTGGCCCAGGACTAGCTCACTAGACAGTACAAGCCTGTCCAGACACCTCAGAAAGCACAAGGGAGGGGAGATGTTACCATTGAGCTGGTGCAGACGCTTCTTTAAGCCCCTTCATTCCAAATATCTTCCTTCCCACAGGAAGAATTCTCATCCCCCCAAGTTCCCTGAATCAGGGGAGTCATGGTCTTGAATATCTTCTACCTCAACCAAGGAGATGGTTATGTATCTTACCTCCCAAGATCTTAGATGAGGATGTGTTTCGGTCTCACAGGTAAATGAGCATCCATCTTCTTTTTCTTTTTTAATTTTTTAATGTTTTTTAAAAATTTATTTCTGAGAGAGAGAGAGAGAAATACAGTGTGAGCAGGGGAGGGTCAGAGAGAGAGGGAGACACAGAATCCGAAACAGACTCCAGGCTCTGAGCTGTCAGTCAGCACAGAGCCCAACGTGGGGCTCAAACCCACGAACCGTGAGATCATGACCTGAGCTGAAGTCGGCTGCCCAACCGACTGAGCCACCCAGGCGCCCCTCTAAGTAACTCTTTAGTGCAGCCTCACCTTCAGCATCCCAGACACTAATGAGCCCCCTAGTAAAGACTTGGACTTTGGACTCCCAGGGACAAACAGGAACTGTGGTAAAATACCCTTGTTACAATAATGCTTTAGGAGGCTCTAAGTGGAAAAAAGAAGAAGCATGCTTAATAAAACTCTTCTCAAACTTCTTAATGAGTACATAATCCATTTGTAGTCAAAAGAATAGACAGTCTGCCTAAACTCCATGTGGCTTAGTTATCTATCTTCTTGGAAAAAAATCACTAAAAATTCTATAAAACTCCTAATATAATCCTAATTCCTAATAGTCCTATACTCCACATAACACTTTTATGGATGAAATTTGGTAATAAATATTATTAATGATGTGATAACCTCTACCAACAGAAAACAAAAGTGAGAGAATAGATTCTTCTTTGTTAAGTCTATCATGGAGCAAGAGTTCTTGTCCCCTTCAAGGGTCCCTCCAGGTGGACTAAATCACATGGGCATGAGACAGATTAACAGGTGAAAATCAAATGTAATAGTGTACATACAGGGAATCCACACAGACATGGAGACTGAAAGACAGACAAAATGAGGTATAAGTGTCATCCTGAACGAAGGACACAGGGGCGGGGGTCTGGAATTTCAGAGGAAAGGAATGCACTTCATAGGGGGATAAGAAGAGGAGCAGATGTTTGGTAATTAGAATGTTTGTCTTGCCACACGGATGTGTCACTCAGATAAAATTTATCTCTGCTAATAACCTTTATTCTGGGAAAGACCCAAATTTAGATTCTTCTATGTAGTGGGTGGCTCAGTCAGTTAAGTGTCTGATTCTTAATTTCTGCTCAGGTCATGATCTCAGGGTTGTGAGATCAAACCCCACATCAGACTTCACACTGGGCGGGGAGCCTACTTGGGATACTCTCTCGCTCCCCTCTGCCCATCCCCTGTTCACACGTGCTCTCCCTACCTTGGTCTCAATAAACAAACAAATACATAAATAATAAAAGAAAAAAGAATAGATTATTCTATGTAGTTAAAAAAGGGGCAGAAGTTTCTCTTGAGCCCACAGGGTCTTAATTGTTTTCAGCTCAAAATAATCTTTATTCCAGAATGGCCCATCTTACCATGGCCTGCCCTCAGCCCCTGCAACTGCATGGTAGTTTCTCTCCTGGAGAAATCAGAGATCATGACCTGAACCGAAGTTGGACGCTTAACTGACTGAGCCACCCAGACACCCCAACAATGACTGTTTGAGTTACTTTTCCCAAAACTGTGCTCATGTTCAAGGTTGCTGGGCACAGCTTTTATCAGTAGGAAATTAGGAAATATTTCATACAGTTAACTTAATCATTTCTATCCCAGTTTCTATTTTTAATGAAGTACACAATTCAATAATAGTAACTTGCTTTAGTAAAGAAAACTGGAGGCATCTGGGTGGCTCAGTCAGTTGAGCGTCCGACTTCGGCTCAGGTCATGATCTCATGACTCATGGGTTTAAGCCCCCCCATTGGGCTCTGTGCTGACAGCTAAGAGTCTAGGGCCTGCTTCAGATTCTGTGTCTCTCTCTCCTTCTCTGGCCCTCCTGTGCTCATGCTCTGTCTCTGTCTCTCAAAGATAAATAAACATTAAAACGATATTTTTAAAAGAAAACAGAAAACGGTGAGTTAGGCAATAAATGACAACCGCTTAAAGAGAAAAGGACCTTGACACTGGTCTTCTCCTGTTTTTTTTCCTGTTTTCAGACACAACATGGTTTAGTGGTGTTTCTAAAACACAAGCAAACTGATAACTCAATATAGTGCCTTTGTTGGAACCAGCCGGTTGGATCATTACAAAACAGATTTCTTCTGTTTTGTTTCATGTTTCTTTAAAATGGCTCCCAGTTTGTGGTGGTAAATTGTTTTTAAATGATGGGTTCTCTGAGACCAATAAGGCGTGTATTCTCTTCTTGAAGATTAATATTATTTTCTGCTCCATCTATCTCACTGTGGAAAATGGCGGCAGCGGTGCAAGTTACAGCAGGCTGGGAAGGCTGGTGAGACCCGGCCATCTGGGCCTGGATTGGTTTCACAGCTCTTTGAAAGTGAGCCGGGGTGAACAGAGGAAGTTTGTTTAAAACACTTTGTCATGCTGCAAGGCCAATAACTAGTTGGGCAGGCCAAAGATAGGACAGGGCTATAGGCCCCTAGACAGTTCATCAGAGAACTTGTATTACTAAACTAGAAATCACACACCTGGAAAAAAAAAAAAAAAACAGGGCAAGAAATGCTATTGTAAAAGTGATATAAAGAAACTCTCTGCTCCCCAGAGAAATGGCTTTCAATAGCTTCTCATTTTTATTAATATATGCTGTTATATAATAAAAACAAAGAAAAAAATAATGCCCAGAAGTTATGTTTTCGGGGCAAAAACATTTTACAAATCTCTCAATATATGTGAGAAAGGATTGTGAGTAAATGTTCTACTGTTATCAGGTGTTATGCAAACTTGCTAGACTTCAATGTATGTAGAAGTGAAAAAAGTCTAAATTAAGACTCCACCTGTCTTTTTTTTTAACGTTACTAACTATCCACAAATAAGGGAAAGGTACCAATAGATTACAGGATTAAATTAGGAAGCATAACAAATGATGAAAGTAAATGAGATTTCATTTCATATTTAAAATAACAATGTTTTGCATTTAAATGAAATTCTACCTTAAAATGCAGCCAGCATATGTTAAAAAAAAAAAAGGAAAGCAAGTTTTCTCTTACCTTGTGGAGGGGGGTAACAGATGTGCCCAGATGGAGAGCTATTTATTCTAGTCCTCAAACATTCACTAAGTATTATAATTTATGTATCATTTTCATATAGTCAAATGTCATAGATGGATTTGATTAAATTATAAATGTTAACATTATGTAAGAATCTTGTGCAAAAGTGTCAGGTTGCAGTTAGCTTGCCACCATAAAATTTTTAGAAGTTTCAAGCAATCCAAAGATTCTGTACAAGTAAATGGAAAAGAAAATAATATTTCTCACCCAGGAAAGTCAACTTGATCTGATAAATTGACTTCAGGTTACAAAATCACCAGATGCCACTGAGGATGTCCTCAAGTAGAACCTTCCTTCCATCCTTAAAATGATGAAAAAATAATATAGAATTGTGACTAAATTCTTCAGTCTCACAAAATAACATCAGTTTTATTAGAGGTGCCTCTCCCTGTTTCTATAAGTTCACACTACCACCATCTACTGGGTGCACGTGCGCACACACACACACACACACACTCACACACAGAGTCAATAGTTTCTTTGCTGAGTTTCCAGAGACTGAACCCCCATTCAGCCTGTCCCCAGTGCCATCTTTGCCACCTCCCACATTTTCTCTAAAACAGTAGGAAAATCCTGCACACTTCAAAAAAGAGTTGGAATAAAATCTCGAATCACAGTTGATGAATTTACAGGCTAGCAATTCTGAATCTGACAGTGTCTATCAAACCTGGGTCCAAATCTTGAACTCCAATGACTACCTGCCTCCGCCACCTTGGAATCATCACTTATTCCTTTGGGGTTCCATTTCCTTGTAGGTAGAATAGAATTATATCAACGGTAGGCCTTGGTGGGAGGATTACAGATAATGGGAGTGAAGCACCCAGTGCCCAGGGCTGGCAAGTGTGGCTACTACTCGGTCACTTAACACTTGTGAAACTCTTGATGCTTTGGGAAACAGATTCTCTCTAGAACCAGATTCGCTATTTGCACAGTCTTCTGTACCATTAAAAAAAGTTATACAGTTTTAAAATGAGGGGATGCTTTGGCCACTCATGAGTTGTCTGCCTTCTCTCCTCCAGGTGTATTTCACTGTTTGATTCTACTTGGATTGGAAAGTATATTCATTGGCCACGGGTGCTCCCAACCAAGCACCACAAACAAATGGCTTAAACAGAAACTTACCACCTCACAGTTCTGGAAGCTAGAAGTCCAAGATCAAAGTCCCAGCAGAGTTGGTTCCTTCTGAGGCCATGAGGAAGAATCTGTTCTAGGCCTCTTCCCCAGCTTCCCGGGTTTTGCTGGCAATTTTTGGCATCCCTTGCCTATAGGACCATCATCCCCGTCTCTGCCTTCACATGGCGTTCTGTCTGTGTGTATGTCTGTGTCCAAATTTTCCCTTTTTACAAGGACACAGTAGCACTGGACTAGAGCCCAAATAATTCCACTATGATGTCATCTTTAATTACATCTGCAAGGACACTTGGAACATCAACATATGGGGGGGAGGGGGTTGTACAATTCAACCCAGAACAGAAGGTTATAAGATGCTCATCATTTCCATAAGTTTTCTGGACCATAAACTCCAAAGGAAATAAGCAAGACCTAATTATAACTCTGGTTGTCAGTCTTTTCACAATGCAAGCCGTCTGTTCTGGGCACGAATGTATAACATTCTATACATAACAGAAAGGATCTGACCTTCCTACAGATAGAGCAGATCTTTCTAGAATTCTATGCTTTTTTTATAGAAACGCCACATTAATGTCCTAAATTTGTTTTTCACTTACATCTATTGCAATTAATAGTTCAGCTCACAGTCACTCCATTGACAAGGTGAGATTTCAGAAACCCTGCAATAGAAAATAGAAAACAGGACGCAGCTTGACCAAAAGCCTAACAAAGAGCTTCACCTACATACGTGAACATTTTGATGTTGCTCAAAACAAAGGAGCCAAAACTCTGAGGCTGGGAGGTGTTTTCGTTATGACAAAATTCTCTTCAGGTAGATTTTTCTTATTGGTTTTCTGTTTGTGTTATTTGAAGAAGTGATCCAGACACAGAATTTTTTTTAATGGGGAAGGGCTGCCTGCACAAAAGATCTGTAGTAATAATAAAGGCCTCCCTCTGTGCCTCCCAGCTACTCACTTCCCCTCCCCGGAGGCAACCCCTGCTGCCAGGGTTTTTAGGCTCCACAATTAGAAACAAAGACACCTGTAAACTCACACCAAAGATAGTCCTGCACCTGGCAGGGGTTTTTTTCTCTCTTTACCTTGTATCTTGAAGATCCTGCCCCTATCAGTAGCTGTTTCATTAGTTGTAACAGCTGCATTCATTGTGTTCCAAAGTCAGGATTGCTCCGGGGTAGGAATTTTATCTCCACAAGTAATGCAGTGTTCTCACAATACTATAATGCGTCCCCTCTCCATGCCCCACTCCTGCTAAGGACAGAGAAGGCAGGTTTGTGCCTAAAACAAATATCACACGGAAAGATGGACAGACCTAATCAAGGCTTTCAATGGTACCGTTGTGCTGGAAAAGTTCTGTTTCATAACTTGCAGTTTAAAAAAATGTTAAAAATCAGGCTCAGGAATTGTTGTTTCCCTGCCTGGCCTCCCTTACTAGTTCCTTTACTAATGGAATTTGCAAGTGAAGGAGTCATTAATTCCACACCTCCATTGCCAACAGCCATAGTGACTCCATCCTAGGGCTGGAATACGATTTATTTGGAATTCCTTTATTGTTGAACATTTAGGTGGTTTGTACTTGTTAAGCATTCAAAATAATGCTGGAATTCACTTACCTGTGACCTTTTTGAGGGGCACAAATTGCCAAATTGACTCCCAGAAATAAATTAAGCGTTTGTTTTTAACATTTGAGAGCATGGGTCCCTTTGAGAATCCAATGGAATTTTTATCTCTCCTCAGAAAACAAAAGACAAATCCGCACAGAAGTTTGCATGCAATTTTAGGGAAACTTCGTCCCTTGCAACTGACCCCAGGTTAAGAACCTGTAAGGGCACAAGTCTAAACGTCTAAACCAAACTGACTCCATGACAGGCTTTAAGTTTCCCCTCTAAACTAGAAGGCCTGAGTTTCGGCTTCCCCGAAACTACCAGATAGTTAACACATTGCCCAAGGCAGGAGTAACCACCGTTGCAACACCCAATCAAGAAAGGCCAGCGACCACCCTCCACATTGTTAAGGGAGAGGCCTGGAGATAGAAACTATAGATAGGACCCTGTTACCTAATGTTAAAGTTAACCCGTTAGTCGTCCAATAAGACCCTAGGCTCGCTCTGTGATTGGTTAAATTTAAAGGTACTCTAAACGTTGTAATTGGATCCCGCCAAAAGTAACATATACTCTAGACAATGTGTATGGTCAAATCCGCTGTCAATGATGTTGTATAATTATGATTGGATCACTGTTCCCATGTCACAACTTCTGTAACTCCCCCGTCACAAACCCCATAAAAACCCTACTCTGCCCTTGTTCGGGGCTCTCAGCACGAATCCACGCACTGGTGAAGTCTGTGAGCCCGAGCTCGAGCCCGTAATAAAGCCCTTTGCCTTTGCATGCGTGACTCGGTCTCCCTGGTGGTCTCTGGTCGGTGAGGATACTGCGATCTGGGTATAACAAACCTAGTATCAAATTATGCTCCCATCAACAATGTAAATTCTTCTTTGCTCACACCTTCACTTTCTTCCCAAACTTTTTACTGATTTTATACATGAAAAAAGTATACTACCCTTAATTTTTTGATTGCTGATGATAATGAAATGTGAACACCTTTTTAAAAAATTGATTTGGTCATATATTGTTTTTATACATTACTTATTCAAGTCTTTTACATAATGACTTGGTTTTTAAATGTTAAATACAATTTTTTAACTCAACACAATAAAGACAGACGATAAAATGGAAACATCCAAGCCCTAGGCATTGCCTGGACTAAACGGAATCTTTGATCTAAGAATGTCAGATTCCAATGTTGCATGTTTCATATGTTCCACTAGAGGGCAATATTAGCTTGTCTATTATTCTCTGGCTTCAAGAGCTTTGAGACTGTTTCCTAAAAAACGTGTTTTTCTAAAAAAAATTTACAAAGAGTAGAAAGTTATAAATACTTCATTATGCATACATTATTATATAAAATAACATTTTAAATGTTCTATTTAATTTCTTACAACACAAGAAAATGTACAAATGGAATTTAAATTATCATCATCAGTGCTTTAGAGGAAAACTATGACTTCATTAGTATTTACTATTACACAGATTTACTAAAATTATCATAACTTATAGAATGGTGTTTACAGCATGATTTAGAATCAAAACTTCATTAATCGTTAGTATAAAAAACTGAAGAAAAGCAACTGACTCCTGAAAAGCCATTCTTGAAAGGCAACTGGATTAATTCTTGGTTCCAAAAATTTATTACAATTTGGCTGGCCATGTACACCAGATATAACCTGATTTCTTCTTGTAACTCAATATTTACTTGGGGAGCATGGGTGCCTCAGTTGGTTGAGCATCTGATTTGGCATGATCCCAAGGTTGTGGGATCAAGCCCCCCCGTCAGGCTCTGCACTGAGCTTGGAGCCTGTTCGGGATTCAAGCCCCTTGTCTGACTAGGCTCTGAGATGGGCATTGAGCATGGAGCCTGCTTAAGATTCTCTCTCTTTCTCTCTCCCCGTACACATCTCCCCTGCTCGCACACACGTTCTCTCCTGTCTCTATCTCTCTCTCATAGATACATATATAGGTAGATAGATGATAAATAGACAGATAGATAGATAATTTACTAATCAGCTACATTTGCAGGACATTCTTCTGGGGCCTACAAATACAGTCATGAAGAAAACAGAAATCCCTGACCTCAGGAGTTATCACACTAGAGGATCAAGGCAGAGACAATATACAAATATGTATGTCCTACATACACACTAGAAGGTGTTAACAAAAATTCCTCTGATTTGAGTGCATTTGAAGATCTAATGGACTTTATTAAGCAATTCACTTATTAAGCATCCCATCTGCAAATAGAAAGGAGCTCTAAGGAGTTGTACAAAGTGGAAGGTTTTTATAGGAAGGAGGGTGGGGCAAAGAAGTTATTAACAAAAGAAAAGAAAGGATTGCTTCAGGCAAGGTCACTCCCCCCACCCCCAAGGGGAAGATTATCTCATCTTCTGAAAGAGGACCACACAACTGATTACCTCACTGTTGCTGAACTTAAAATTCCTTAAGTGACCTGCTAAGACTTTGTTTCTGAGGATGGTTGAAACTGCAATTAGGTTAGATATTAAGCCCCAGTTTGGCGACTTGGCCTAGCATAAGCAACTCCGTTTTGAGACTGGTTTTCTTTTTGACAAATGTTAGAGGGGCTAAGGAGGGAAATAAAGCTGGAAAGGGAGTTATGCCACACCACTGGGGAAATGGAGGTGGCCAGTGGAGGCTTCACACGCGATGTGACATCCAAGCAGACAGCTTAGGGAACTCAGTCATGTGGGTCTGAAAAGATCACCATGAAGAGAAGGGACATATAGTGCAAGGGTGTTGAGGCAGGAATGGATCTGCCTGGTGAGAAACAGCAAGGAAGCCGGTGTGGCCGGAGAGAAGTGACCCAGGGACAAGGAGAGGGCCTTGGCAGCAGCATCAAACTGGGACTTTTACTCCAAGATGAAGAAAAGCTGGGGTTTTAGGCACAACCAAGATATGATCTATATGCATAAAAGGAATCACTCTGACTACTATGGTAAGCAGAAAGTTAGGGGTCCCCTGAAAAAGAAAGACAGGCATAGCTGCCCTGCCATAGGAAAAGTCAGTTTAGGCCCCCAGCCATCTGGTGACCGATGCCAGACAGGCACTGCTTGCCCAAAGCAGATTTCTTGCGGAACTTCCTGGGATATGTTGAAATTGTAGAAGAATTGACCCCAGTAGATTATGATTCTAAGGGAACAAAAGAATGCAAGAACAAATAGCCACTATCAGGCGATGAGACAGCCTAATCATATCAGGGACAATAAATCAGGGGTAAATCTCCCAGTGCTGGCTCAAAAGTGAAGATTGACCTGAAGTGCATTCTTGAGTTGTCTTTGCAGGATCTAAACCCCTTTGAGCACTCAGATACCAGACAACTAAGTCTGGAGAATTGATGTTGACCTTTGCCGGCCCTCATGACTTCGACTCTGTCACCTTAAGATGACTTTGCCCCAGTTCCATGCTGAAATCCCCATTGCACAAGCCCTTTCATAAACATGCATGAACGCTTAGCTTGAAATTTCCCCAGTTTTGTTGTTTCAGGAGACACAGCTTTGGGAAATATCCCTGGTGTTCTCCTTTACTTGTTTCAAGTAAAATCCTTCCTTTTCCTATTCTTTGGCTTGGTTCTGTCTTGGCTCATTACCCACCAAGAGGTGAGTTTCAGGCAACACTACTTTAAGAATAGACTATAGGGGTACAGGAGTAGAGACAGGAAAAGTAGTTAGGATGCTGCTGGCATTAATTAGAAACTATGGTGTTTTGGACCAGGTTGACAGCAGCAGCAGAAGGCTAGAGGCACATGATGTTTGAAGTGCCTATGAGCTACTGAATAGGTTGCTGGATATGCAAGACTGGCATTCAAGGCAGGGTCTGGGTTGGAAATAGACATTTGAGAGACATCAGTGTAGAGGAACAAGATCATAAAGAGAAGCAGCATAGAAAGAGCAGAAAAGAGGTCTGAAAACATCCCCAGGACATCCACTATTTAGAAGTTGGGGCAATCAGAGGACACAGAAAAGAAGGTTGAGAAAGAGAGTCTAGTGAAGTAAGTAGAAAAAAGCCAAGAATGAGGTGCCCACAAGCCAATGGCCTCTAGGAGCACAAAGTAATCTATCTCTGTTGTTAAATGCTGAGGGCAAGGACTAACCATTGATGTTAGCAGGGCAGATCATGGTGGCCCTGACAAGAGCAGTGGTCCTGGGGTCCAGGGGTTGGAAGCATGATCAGAGAGGATTATAGAGATAAAGGGTGACACAGGAGATGGCAAGTATAATAGTTATTTCAAGGAATTTTGATAAAAAGGAACCTAGAAATGAAGTGATAGCTGGAGTGTGATATGAGATCAAGAGAAGGTTTTCAAAAGATAGGAGAAATGATAGGATTGTATGCTATCAGAGAGACAGAAAACTGGAGGTTGCAAGAAGGAGACGAAACTTCCACAGCAATGTCCTTGAGTAACAAAGGGGATGGGATCTAATACAAAGTGTGGAGGCTAGCCACTTTTAATACAAGGCCAATTCTATGGGCCCAGACACGGTGGCCTGGGTTCGGTTTTCATAAGGGCACAATGAATTGATAAAGCCTTCAGAAAGCACCGCCTCCCAGCCAGTGGGGGCTTTCTCAGGAAAAACCTCCCCATAAGAACAGCAGGGTTTTGGGGCACCTGGGTGGCTTAGTCGGTTAAGCGTCCGACTTTCGCTTGGGTCATGATCTCGCGGTTGGTGGGTTCGAGCCCCGCGTCGGGCTCTGTGCTGACTGCCAGCGCGGAGCCTGGAGCCTATTTCAAAGTCTGTGTCTCCCTCTCTCTCTGACCCTCCCCTGCTCACGCTGTCTCTCTCTCCTAGAAATAAAAAAATATATTAAAAAAAAAAAAAAAGAACAGCAGGGTTTTATCCAATTACAACACATCCAAAGTAGGTGCTTAATCCATGTAATCAGGAGGTGGCATGATATGGTGGGAAAGAGTTATAGTCAAATTACGGTCAGTTAGGTAGCTCTGAGATCATGTGGCTGTTAAATACACTGGTTTTAGAAAACTTACTTTCTTATATGTTATAAAGAAATATGATTGAATCATTTGCTCAATAAATTCTGTGTGCCAAGCACTGGACCGGCACATAAAAGTCATTTCACGATGAGACAAATTTTCCTGCATTTCACTTGGTCCTTTTACTTTATTGACAACATCTTGCAAAGTAATTACCTTCT